CATTTCAATTTTCTCACTGAAGGGAACTCTGTTTGTCTTTCCTTCCTCACATTTCTTTCCCTTATTTTACCTGTGGTACTTGACTCAGCAGTAAAGAAATAAAATGGAAGCAGTGAGTTCATTGGAAAGATTGAATTTTAGAGTTTTTAGGCCTTCCTAGAGAGCTGGTGCAATTAATTCCTTCCACAGATAAGTACCAGAGGGATTATATGATTTACCCAGGAGCAGAGGGCAGTCGGTGATAAAGCTGGGACCTACAAGTTCGATTTCCATTCACAGAGTTCTTTTACTTGCTGTAGTGTTCACTTGAATGGGTGGGAAAGTGCCAAAGGATTTCTCTTTGAACTAAAAGGAAAAGAAATTATTTAATCCCTTCAAATTGTAATTTGGAAATAAGGATTAAGCTATAACAATGTACTTTTTAACCCATTTAATCCATTTGGAGACACTTATCCAAAAGAAATAATCTAAAACAGATCTGTAAACCATGGCCTTTCATGTCATATTAGGCCTACCACCCATTTTTGTAGTCTGCCAACTGAAAATGGTTTTTACCTTTTCTATGATTAAATCAAAAGAACAATATTTTATTACATATGAAAATTTTAAGAAATTCAGATATTAATTTTAATTAATAAAATTGTATTGGAACACAGCCACATTTGTTTATTGTTTATTGCTGCTGTCAAGCTACAGCTGCATATTTGAAGAGTTGCTGCAACAAAAACCATATGGCCTGCAGAGCCTAAAGTATTTACTTATCTTGCCGCTTACAGAAAATGTTTGCTGTCCCCAGGTGTAAAAGAAGGAAAAACTACGTGCGTGAAAACATTTATATAAGGGGCACGTGGGTGGCTCAGCTGGTGAAGTGTTCGATTTCAGCTCAGGTCATGATCTCTTGGTTCGTGAGTTGTAGCCCCATGTTGGGCTCTGTGTTGACAGCTCAGAGGCTGGAGCCTGCTCCGATTCTGTGTGTGTGTCTCTCTGCCCTTCCCCCGCTCATGTTCTCCTTCTCTGTGTCTCAAAAATAATAAACATATGAAAAGTTGTAAAAAAGTAAGAAAAACATTTATTTAAACATTTTTTAGTAATAAAAAATAAACATGAAAATGTCAAGCTGGAGTATGGTTTTTTGAATTATAATTTAATAAATGTATGTATTATTTGACTACTAAAATTATAATCCAAAAACAGTGTGGGGCACCTAGGTGGCTAAGTCGGTAAAACAGTGCAGGGCAGCTGGGTGGCTCAGTCGGTTAAGTGCCAACTTCAGCTCAAGTCACAGTCTCACAGTTCATGAGTTTGAGCCCCGTGTTGGGCTTTGTGCTGATATCTTGGAGCCTAGAGCCTGCTTCAGATTCTGTGTCTCCTCTCTTTCTGCTCCCTGCCCCGCAACTGCTCATGCTGTCTCTCTGTCTCAAAAATAAATAAACATTAAAATATTTAAAACATAAAACCAATACATTAACTTTAAAATTCTTACTACTTGAGAGGTTTAAAAGGATGAAATTCTGCTATAACTTGTGTCAATATAGGTAAAGACTAAAAATAATTTGGTTTTAGGTAGAGACCTAAAAATAATTTTGGTTACAGTGTGCCGGGGTCATCAATACCTTTTCCAGCATTTCTGTAGTATTATTTTCTATTTTAATGAGAAATAAAAACCTTATACTAGTTTCTTTTCCAGCCTGATCAGGGAATGTGATATTTTACTTAATCAAATGTTTTCAACCATAGTTACAGTACATGAGTCACCATTACTCAAGATTTCTAGAATGATAGGAGAGACCTTAATTTTCTGCTTATGTCTGCATATTATAAATGAGGGATTGGTATTGAGACTCAAAAAATACATAGTTAAATTAGTTCTCTTAAAATTTAAGAATTTTTCAGTACATGTCTTCATGGTAAATAAATTAACTTGAAGATGTAAAATGGCAGTATGGTAACTATGTTTCAAAAGCCAGATTCTCTTCTCCCTGAACTCATATTCAGCTTAATTTAAATAACCAATTTAAATTCACAATCTGATCCCACACCACTGGCACGTACATATTTCCCAGTCTTTTTGTGCATAAATCCCTCCTTCCAACAAGATTTATTTTTTTCTCCAGCTTCCTCTATGTACTTTTGTATCCAGATCTGTCCTTTATTATTATTATTATTATTATTATTATTACTATTATTATAGTTCCTGATTCTCACTTGGTGCTTAGCCAAGACTGATTTGTATTGTTAGGCAGGTGTATTCATTTTCATTTTGTATTGTTAAGCAGGTAATTTGTGCTGTGACAAATTACCATAGACTCAGTGGTTTACAACAACACGAATTTATCATCTTGCTATTCTGGAAGTCAGAAGTCTAAGATGTGCCCTCTTGCACTAAAATCAAAGTATCCATAGGGCTGCATTCCTCTGAATTCTCTTGAATCCCTTTTCTCGGCTGGGTTTCAGAGGCCTCTTGAATTCCTTGTCTTGTGGTCCTTTCCTCCATCTTCAAAGCCAGCATCGTAGTATCCTCAAGTCTCTCTCTGACTCTGACCTTCCTGCCTCTTTTCTTATAAATACCCTCTGATTACATTGGGCCCACTTAGGTAACCTCCCAATGTCAACATCCTTAACTTGATTACATCTGCAAAGTCCCTTTCACCACGTAAGGTAACATTCACAGATTTCGGCGATTAGGATATGGACAACTTTGGGAGACCACTAACCTACCTACCACAGTGGGGTTTTTTATGTAAAATAATGAGTTTTAATTTTTTCTCTTTGTAATAGTAGTATTTATTTAATGTAGATAGTTTAGAAAATATAATTAAGCAAAAAAAAAAAGAAAAAGCACATATACCCAAAGGCAAAAATTTTATGTGTATCTTTTCTTTTTTCTGCATTTATGGGTAATAATTTTATATTAAAAATAATTTCTTAATATTGTATATAGTATAAATAGAACAGTAGCAAACTTTGGCATATATTTTTTCATAGGCCTTGGTACCCCTCACTACACATTTGATATTAAGTAGGTGCTGAGAAATTGATGGATTTTCTCAAATTTTACATTGAGGAACAGATTTAAGCACTGTGATATACTGATTTCGCCTCTTTATATTTTATTAGACTTTGAATTTATCTTGATAAAATTTTGCATCAGAAATTCACAGACCTGATAAAATTTTGCATCAGCAATTCACAGACCATTTCTTACCTAGCGGTACAAACCAATTAATGCACTTCGTTTACTTTCAGCCTTTAACAATGCATACTAATGACTCCTGTGTCCTTGTTGAGAAAGAACTTTCCCAGAGTGTATACTGCCCACTGCAGTGGTATGATGTCCAGTAAGCCTGCCATTTCTGAGTCACAGGAATGCTGACAAAACTTGAGGAAAACAAATATCTATGAGAGTGAGAAGTGGATATAACTCTTCTGTTACAGAAATATGAGAAATTTTTCGGTGCACCTGGGTGGCTCAGTCAGTTAAATATCCAACTTCAGCTCAGGTCATGATCTCTTGGTTCATGAGTTTGACACCTGCGTCGGGCTCTGTGCTGACAGCTCAGAGCCTAGAGCCTACTTCAGATTCTGTTTCCCCCTGTCTCTCTCTCTCTCTGCCCCTCCCCTGTTCTCTCTTTCTCTCTCTCAAAAATTAAAAAGAAAGAAAGAAATTTTTCTACCTAACATTTAAAATATTTTGTATACTACAGTCACTCTAAAATTAATTTTCATATCTGTTATGATGATACATGTATGGCTCCTTCTTTTAGACTTTTGTTAGACATGTTTTCAGATGATTACTCCCTATAACACTATTTCTGTTGTTCACTACATAAACATCCTTGAAAAATAATTCAGAGCAAGCAAGGACTTTCAATGCCTTAGCTTGCAAGATGTACAAAAGAGAAACTGATGGAGAATTGTTTGTGAACACTATTATCTATATACATGTTTTTTTTTTGTTTTTTTTTTATTTCTAGGAGAGAGAGAGAGAGAGTGTGAGCAGGGGAGGGTCAGAGAGAGAGAGAGTCACAGACTCTGAAACAGGCTCCAGGCTCTGAGCTGGCAGTCAGCACAGAGCCCGACATGGGGCTCGAACCCACGAACCGTGAGATCATGACCTAAGCGAAAGTCGGACGCTCAACCGACTAAGCCACCCAGGCGCCCCTACATGTTTATTATCTGTCTTCCCCAAAGGATATGAAGCTCCACGAGGGTAGAGATGTTTGTCTGTTTTGTTCAATTCTCTATCCACAGTGCCTAGAACAGTAATTGCCTCATAGTAGGTGCTCAATAAATATCTGTTAGATGAATAATAATTATTTGGTCCATTTCTAATGATATGTTTGATTAGGAGTGATAAAAAATAATATTGATATACATATATTTCTAATAAAGCCCATTGGTATTTTGATATTATCTCTAATTTTGTTGTAAAAGTAAATTTTGATTTTAACATTGATCTTTATTTTATGAAAGCCACCAAATTTGATAAACATACACATTTAAAGAAAAGCCATGGAGAAGGAGATTGTTACCAAAGCATGCTGTGTGTTTTGTTATGGTTGGGGCCTTTGAAACAAAGGCACAGAGCAATAATAACAGTGAATACTGCAACATACTGAGTTATGATATGCCACATGGATTCAGTTAAAATTGTAGCTAAATTTCTTTACTGTGGGTTAAGTGAGTAGAGTCCGTTATAATAAGTGCAGTACTTGTCCTTTGAGTTTACATAATGCTCTCAAATTATATCTGAAATGAGACTGTTCATCTCTTTAAATATCCATAGGTTGTAGTTAGTTATGACACTATGCTGAGCTGTATTATAATGTCAGAAAAGAGTAGAGTGGGAGCTTATCTCTGCTGCTAATGAAATATATAATAATATATAATGAGTTCCATACTACTTTGAAGAGGTCAGAATAGATGCTTTTTATGTTCTAATTTTAGATCTTTTTGGTTTTTGGATACTTATCCAACCACCTTTGTTACTCTGTTTTCAGGTGATGTCCTTGTTGCCGTGAATGATGTGGATGTGACTTCTGAGAACATAGAGAGGGTTCTGTCTTGCATTCCTGGACCTATGCAAGTATGGACAGTCCTTTTTTTTTTTTTTTTTTTTTTTTTTNATTTCTAGGAGAGAGAGACAGCATGAGCAGGGAGGGTTAGAGAGAGAGGGAGTGACAGACTCTGAAACAGGCTCCAGGCTCTGAGCTGGCAGTCAGCACAGAGCCCGACGCGGGGCTCGAACCCACGAACCGTGAGATCATGACCTAAGCGAAAGTCGGACGCTTAACCGACTAAGCCACCCAGGCGCCCCTGGACAGTCTTTTTCTATATTTTATGATGAAATGTCCTGACATGATGAAATGTCCTTTATGATGAAATGTCCTTACGAAAACTAAGGATATCTTGCAGTGTTTTCTTTTTTTAAGATCCTGAAATTTACCACGTATAATGTGGGTTACACTACATACTTGACTATTTAAGGGTTTTGGTTTTTTTTTTAATGTTTATTTTTAAAAGAGAAAGAGACAGACCATGAGCAGGAAAGGGGCAGACAGAGAGGGAGATATAAAATCTGAAGCAGACTTCAGGTTTTGAGCTTTTAGCACAGGGCCCAATGTGGGGCTTGAACTCACAAACCGTGAGATCATGACCTGAGCTGAAGTCAGAAGCTCAACCGACTGAGTCACCCAGGCGCCCCTATATACTTGACTATTTTAAAAAACTTAGCTCTTGTTAACATTTTTAGCTTTTGAGATTATTCTGAAAAGAGGAGATATATCTACAAATAAAACTCCCCCCTGGGGCACCTGGGTGGTTCAATCGGTTAAGCATCTTGTCTGACTCTTGATTGCAGCCCAGGTTATGATCTCATGGTTTGCTGGTTCAAGCCCTACTTTGGGCTCAGTGCTGAGCATTGAGCCTGCTTGGGATTCTCTATTTCCCACACTCTCTGCCCCTCCCCGGCTTGTGCTTGCTTGTTCTCTCTCAAAATAAATATATAAACTTAAAAAAAATTAAACAAAAAAACTTCTCCTAAGTAAAGCAGGAATAATAATAAAATGACAATAATAAAAAGATCTATAATGACTAACCTGTCATTATAACTACCATATATGTTGATGAAAATCCAGTTCCTAGAAAAGTCGTTTTAACAGTCATGGAATTTCTTTCTCTGATTTATTAAAATCACTATTAAGTTTTTTTAAGTGTGGTTTTGTTTATTTTTTTTAAAAACTACACTATTTTGTTGATTTTTTCTGTTATATAGTTTAACCTTATTCCCAAGCTCTTATATTTAGCTATTTAGTGAATTATTTTTCATTCCTTGTAGGTAAAAATATATCTCTTGCATAATAGTTATTTTGATAGTCTAAGCATTGACATTTTGTATCATAGATGACATTTTTAGGTCATTAGATATATTTTGAAAGTGCTATACTTTTGTTTGTGAATGCTCTGTCTGCTCTTGTTAGTCTCAGGAATTAGCTGGGGCACCTGGATGGCTCAGTCAGTTAAGTGTCCATCTCTTGGTTTTGGCTCAGGGTTTGATCTCACTGTTTGTGAATTTGACCCCCTGCATTGCTCTCTATGCTGATGCTGTGGAGCCTGTTTGGGATTCTCTCTCTCCCTCTCTCTCTGTCCCTCCCTGGCTTGGGATTCTCTCTCTCTCTCTCTCCCTCTCAAAAATAAATAAACTTTTTTTAAAAAATAAAAAAATAAATTAGCTTTCTCTCTTTTGAGGGATAGGGAGGATGATACGCTTTAGATAGGTTAGATATTCTATTAGACTATGAGAGAATGAAGCAACTTTCTGGATTGGTAAGGATAAAGAACAGATTCCCTGATAAATCAGAATTGTCCTGAATCCGATTTAAGATCCTGAAGTAATAAGATCCATGATGCAATTCGTTATTTTCTAAGAAATAACATTTTCCTTATGCTCAATTTTTTCTCTTAAAGCACGCATACACCAGACACACTTATGGATGCTCTATAAAAGTATCTATCTTTGGAAATGCAAAATGAAAGTACTAGAATAACTATGGTAGCTAGTGACCAGCAGTGTTTAGGAATGGATAGAGAGATATCGATGGAGACCAGGTGGTGGTCGAAATATTAACAATCAGGCAGACACCAGCCATAATGCAGAAATAGAGTATACTGCTGTCACCTTTGGTTGCCAGATGTGGAGAGGTCAGCCATGGTACGAGGGTTTCTCAGGGGGCTCAGATAGCAGCTTCTTACCAATCAGTAATGAAGAATTATAGTATTTTAACAACTGAAACAGCCTCACCCAAGTAAACTGTCTATATGTCAGCCCTGAGTAAGAGCTCCTCTTTTCTTGCCTCGGTCACCTGCAGGTGTCTGCCAGTATTGCCACAGTGCAACCATGTCTCTTCCGTCTTCCAAAAAAGAAAAACTATGTTTACAGTGAGTCCCATTATACTTATGTTTAATTAGCATTTGCAAAGTCAGCTATGCACACCACAAGATAAAAAGAGGAAGAAATAATGATTTAAATATTTTGGTCCAATTCCACCCACCATTTACATGTCCTTATTAAGTGTGAAGTAGGAGTCCTGTATCTGCTGTTTGCCCAGTTTGCCTTTTACAGCATGAGCATCTTGCTGCATTAAATGTGGTTCTGGATTTAAACACACACACACACACACACACACACACACTCACACACACACGCAGCTTTTATGTGCCAATATGTACATCTTGTGCCTGAATGAAGAAACAGCAGTTTGTTTTGAAAATGGAAGGAAAACTGTGTTGAATTGTTTGAATTTATCATATTGAGTGAATATGTTATACCCCAGTACTCTAGCACATTTTTACCTTTCCTAATGTAAGTTCAAAGTGGTTTTGACACTATATAATTTGAAAATATAATCCTGTCTAAAGATGTATATTATTAACATCTTTTTATTATTTAAGAAAATGAATTATTCTTATTATAAAGCCAATACATGTTCATTGTAAAAACTGGAAAATATGAAGACGTAAAGGACAAAATCTTTTAAAATCCCACCATCTGAGGATATCTACTATTAATATTTTGGAATATTTTATTCTAGTTTAACTTCTTGAATATAAACATGTATGCATTTGTTTGTTTTACGCAGAATTGGTATTATAGCTGTGTCATACTCAAAAGCAGGCACCAGCATTTAGGGTGATATGCCTTTAATAATGATTTAGAACATAGTTAAAATTCTTTTAACTAGAAATAACGTTTAATTGGTAAGCCACATTTTTCATACATCATTAATGTTGAAAGTAGGGAAAACTATAAGCTTCTAACTACCAGCCATGTAAACTAGGAGGTTCAGAGAGGGTAGGAGTAGAATTGGGAAAGGAAGTAGTCTTTGTACGTTTCAGGCATATGTTGGTATTTTGTTAATTTCATTTCCTTTAGTAATTTTATTTATTCTTTATTATTCCATATAACAGTCTTTAAGATGCCAATAATAGTATTTCTATATTATATGTGAAGAAGAAGAATCTAAGAGAGATTTAATGATTTCTCCAAGGTAGTAGAATTAATAACTCAAGGAATTGAAACTGGCTCCAGTGCACAATCCTTCCCTTTGTAACAAAACCCGGGGGGGGGGGGGGGTCTTCACTCCTGCTGGGTCAGAACTAACTGAGGTGAACTTGTTCCAGAGAAAGTTGTTTTACCTGCTTTGTATCTATGGCATCTGAAACAGTTGTTTAAGCGATAAGAGAAGAGGAATGCATAGGAGACTTTTTAACATTTATATTTGGAAATATCAGCAACATTTTCAGCTGCTACTCAGGGTATAAAATGGTCTGAAAGCTTTGTGTCGTCTGACAGAAGATGGCCTAGGAGATACCTACAATGTGGTAATGTGGTAGGATGAGGTCAGATCTCCATTTTAAAACCTTGCCCTGAGCAAGTTGCTAGACTCTTCTGGGTTTCGGTTTTCTCATCTATAATCAGAGGAGATTTGAGCAAATATATCTGAGCACAGGTCCAACTCTGCAGTTCTGCATTTGGTTTTTAAATAAGTTCTGTTATAAATAGATTACAAATACCAGAATGAGATGCAGAAGTGAAGCCTGTATGCTAGGTGAGATGTAAAAATCCCAAATCATTTTCTTTCAAAGCCAAGTTTTAACATTGTGCAAAAAGAGTTGTCTTAGAGTCTCCAAAAATTTAACTATCATGAAAGGAAAAAACGGCTGGAGAACTGTTCTAGACTAAGGCAGACTGAAGTGACATAAAACCAAATACAGTGGCTAATCCTTCATTGATCCTGGATTGCAGTGGGGAACAGCCATATTGGGACAATTGGGGAAATTTGGGCACAGACTTTGAAAACAGTATTGTATTTAATATTCAGATTCCCAAATGTGATAATTATATTTGGTTGTGTAGGAGAATGCCTCCGTCTAGAGGGCATACATGCTCAAGTATTTAGCAATGAAGCATTAAAATGTCTGCAAATAGTTCTGAAGTGATTCAGTCAATTTTTAAAAAATATTTATTTTTGAGAGAGTGCACAGAGGGAAGGAACAGAGAGAGGGGGACAGAGGTACTGAAGTGGGCCCTGCACTGATAGCGGTGGGCCCGATGTGGGACTTGAACACACGAACCTGAGCTAAAGGTGGATGTTCAACTGACTGAGCCACCCAGGTGTCCCAGTCAATTTTTTTTAATACATAGAGTGGGAGTGAGGAAGGAAGGAGAGGGAAATGTGACAGAGAAGAGAAGCAAATGTGACAAAATGTTAAGGATTGGTGAAACTGGATGAGGAATAATACATGGGTAATTATTATATTCTTGCAAGTTTTCTGTAGGCTTGAAATGTGTTAAATTAAGAAGTTGTAGGTTTGAAAAAAAGAGGTTTTAGGTATTTGAAAGGAAAACAAAGGTGCAAGTACCCTTCTAATTATCTACTTTTGTGAATTTGAGCTCACAGATCTTGCCACAGCTCTGTGCACTCATTTATTCAACACGCACATAATTGTGCAGGTAGTATACCACCCACTCCTGATTTGATCAGAGATCTTGGGTCCAAATTTTGCAGATGAGCAGGGTTGTTAGCACTAAGCACTGGGCCACAGTTCATTTTCCTAGAACTTTGGAGGAAGCCAACTCCTTTTCTAGGAGATCAGCCTGTGGAGCATTAGTCCTGGACTCATACCTCTCAAGTACATCTTAGGTCCAGGAGAGGGGGAAAAGTTTTCTTAAAGGAAATGATAGTTGAGTGGAATGTTTTAATTTATTTTATTATTTATTATTTCTATGTTATACAAAAGTGATAGTCACATATGCTGTGGAAAAATTAGGAAATAGACTGTCAAAATTTAAAAAATATATATATATGTATGTAAATATATACATACATATATATATATATTTAGGGGCACCTGAGTGGCTCAGTTGGTTAAGTGTCCAGCTTTTGATTTTGGCTCGCTTCATGATCTCACAGTTCATGAAATGAAGCCCCAAGTCACGCTCTGCACTGATAACCCAGAGCCTGCTCGGGATTCTCTTTCTCCCTTTCTGCCTCTCCCCAGCTAGCATGCTAGTGCTCTCTCTCACTCAGAATGAGGAAATAAAGTTTAAAAAAATGTGAAATCTTCTCTATTCTCAGAACCCAGAATTAACCACCTGTGTTGATATTTTATTTTTTAATGTTTTAATGTTTTTTATTTCTGAGAGAGAAAGAGCATGAACAGGGAGGGGCAGAGAGTTGGAGACTTATTTTCTGAATCAGGCTGCACCCTGACAGCTGAGAGCCCTATGGAGGGTTTGATTGAACTCATAAACAGTGAGATCATGACCTGAGCTGAAGTCAGATGCTTAACTGACTGAGAGCTACCCAGGCTTCATAATTTAAAGTGGAGGACTGACTTTATCAGATTTGCACTTTAGGAATATTTCACTCTGAATGGGATCGGAGGTTGAGGAACCAGGCTGGCTTCATAGCAATCAGAAGAGAGGTGATAAAGGCCTGAGCAAGGTGTTGGCTGTGGATATGGAGGTAGGAGTAGATCAGGTTTAAAATGATGTGAATCGAAGAAGACTGTACTTCCTGCAGACTGAAGGAAAGTCCAAGGTGCCTTCCAGGTTTTGTCTTGAGTAACTCAGTGAAATTGCCCAAAAGAGAAGAGGATCAAGGAGAGAGAATTTGCTGACTCAAATAGACTCAATGCCTTCAGAATTTTGATGGAGGAATTTTCAAAGCATCTGTCAGACAAAGCAGAAAGGATCAGACATGCAGATAGTAGCCAGATGTTGTGAGAGAGACTGCGAGGGCCATGAGGTAGAGGTGAGAGACTGGTCAGCTCTTGGAGCTGCTTCAGATTCTGACAACCTCCCTGGTTCCCATCTGCGAAGAGGATGGCATGGAGAGAAAGAATTTGGCTATTTGACAGAGGTTGAAGAGACATTGCTGGTTACATTCCGGGTTGGAGATAGAAGTAGAGAGGTGGTAATTAAGAAAACAAGATATTGGAAGTGATGAGTTATAGAAAGCTTGCCAGACCCTGAGGAAAGGCACATCATCTCCTGAACTGGAGGGAAAGGAAGGAAGGATGGGCAAATTGCACACACACACCAAAAAATGTTTCGGGAGAGACCCACAACAAGGAATGATAAAACAGGGGCGCCTGGGTGGCTTAGTCGGTTAAGCGTCCGACTTTCGCTTGGGTCATGATCTCACGGTTCGTGGGTTCGAGCCCCGCGTCGGGCTCTGTGCTGACAGCCAGCTCAGAGCCTGGGGCCTGCTTCAGATTCTGTGTCTCCCTCTCTCTCTGACCCTCCCCCGCTCATGCTCTCTCTCTCTCTCTCTCTCTCTCTCTCAGAAATAAAACATTAAAAAATATTTAAAATGAATGAGTTATCTTTGGCCAATTAAGCGTCTACATACATCTTTTTCAAGGAAAGCTAATTGAGAAGTGGAAGCTTCCTTTCAACAACTGGAAAATGCCACATTCTGGACTCTTACCAGTCTTGTCAACCATGAAAAAAAAAACTATCTTGATAAAACTGATAATCTCCTCAAGGTCATGATTCAAGGTCCCGCACATTGATAGTTTTCCTTGGTCTTTATTTTAAAGGACCTCAAAGAATGTCTAAGAAAATGTTTGAATATCACCTCACTTGAAAGGAAAGCTAATCTGGCTTTATGAAGTTCCTTTTAATCCTGAATCTTCCTTTTCCCTTCCCCAGATGAATCAGTGCTATCAGCATTCATTGTAATAGTGTTGCTCTTTTTGAAATTATGAGATCATACAAATTCTTGTTTTTCCATCGCATTTTCTTTTGTTGTCAGTAACTTAGAATACAGTAATTAAATAAATGAATTTTTGTACACATAAATTCTTATTCAATAAATATTTGTAATACTATGTGCTAGGCTACCATCCAGAGATAGAAATATAAATAAACTACATAGTCCCTGCCATAAAGAGCTCACATTCTAGGATGATTTTTAGATATACTGTGTGTACCTGAATATATATGCATGTGCAGGCCCTTTTTTGTGAAAACTACAGCTGACTTTTCCTTGTTGAAAAAATAAACACATTGTTTTAATTGTTAAAGGTAAAATTGACATTTGAGAATGCATACGCTGTGAAAAAGGAAGCGACTCAACCAAAACAGAAAAAGGCACAGTCAAACACAAGTGATTTAGTCAAACTTCTATGGGGAGAAGAGGTTGAAGGTATCCAGCAAAATATCCTCAACACTCCTCATATTGTTATGTATCTCACACTACAGCTTGACTCGGAAACATCAAAGGAAGAGGTGAGTGCCTTCTCAAAAGCGCAAAGGGAAAGAAGGACCTATTATAATCTTCCAAGTGAATACTAAGCACTTTTTTCAGTCATTCTGTGTCTTTATGGTTTTGGTATGTCTCTTACACAAGACATAAGTCTAATTGTCAAGCCTAATGAATCCATTTATACAGATTACTGAAATATTTAAATTTGTTTCTTCCATCTTCTTTATTTTTTTGTAAATGCTTTATTTGAGAGAGAGATAGAGAGAGAGACAGCTTGAGCAGGGGAGGGTCAGAGAGAGAGGAAGGCACAGACTCCAAAGACAGGTTCCAGGCTTTGAGCTTGCTGTCAGCAAATAGCCTGATGCAGGGCTTGAACCCAAGAACTGTGAGATCATGATTGAAGTCGGACGCTTAACCAACTGAGCCACCCCGGCACCCCTCTTCCATCTTCTTTAAAAATTTCTATTTGAACTACTTTTTCCAAAACATTTTTCTTACCTATTGTTGGTTGCGGTAGTCTTTATTTATTTTTAGTGATCGCTCTTAAATTTTTATCATATTTATCTTAGCAGACTCTAAAACAGTATCTTAACTCTTTTTTAAAATAATTCAAGGGGTTCTTGAGTGGCTCAGTTAAGCGTCCTACTTCAGCTCAGGACATGATCTCACAGTTTGTGGGTTTGAGCCCTGCGTCAGGCTCTGTGCTGACATCTCAGAGCCTGGAACCTGCTTCAGATTCTGTATTTCCCTTTCTCTCTGACCCTCCCTACTCATGGTGTCTTCTCTGTCTCTCTCTCAAAAATAAAAAAAAATTAAAAAAAATTTTTTAAATAACTCAAGGCCCTTGGTACACCTTAATTCCAATTTCTCCTCTTCACATACATGCTATTTTCCTCAGTATTTCAGTGCTATCACTTTTTTAAAATTCCAGAAATTGGGTGTAAATATACTAATGTTACTACTATTAATTATTTATTACATTGTATACATTATAAAATATATAAGCAATACATTATAAAATGCATATTTTATACATTACACTTCATACAAATGAACCTTCTTTAAATTTACCTAAATGCTTACCACTTTCTTTACTATCTTTCTTATCTCTGACTGTCCTTATTTGATCATTTTTCTTCTTCTTAAGACATATATTTTAGGCACTTATTTTTTATTTGTTTTTTAAAGTTTTATTTATTTCTAGGAGAGAGAGAGAGAGAGAGACAGCGTGAGCAGGGGAGGGTCAGAGAGAGAGGGAGTCACAGACTCTGAAACAGGCTCCAGGCTCTGAGCTGGCAGTCAGCACAGAGCCCCACGCAGGGCTCGAACCCACGAACCTCGAGATCATGACCTAAGTGAAAGTCCGACGCTTAACCTACTAAGCCACTCAGGCGCCCCAAGGCATTTTTTTTTTTTTAGTGAAAGTCTCTTGATGATAAATTCTTTTTGTTATTTATCTGATGATGTTGCTTTAACCTCTTCTTGAAAGGTACTTTATAATTCTACATTGTGTTAGTCAAAAGAGGCCAATTGCCATTAACAACCCTGATGTCTTAGTGTCTTAACATAATAGTTTATTTCTTCAATATAATGCTCCTGCTCATGTTGCTCAGTGGTCAGAGCCCTTCCTCTAGTGGTTTCATGATTTCCAAAGGCTTCAGAGCCCTAGATCACTTACACCTAGTTCACCAATAAGAAAAGAGAAAAAACATTTAATATCTCATGGGACATTTCAGAGTCTTAGGTTAATAATTGGAACATCACTTTTGCCCATATTCCAGTGTCCAGAACTAGTTATATGGTCTCTCCCAATGCAATGAGGTAAGGAAATGTAGTTTTACTGTGTGGCCGAGAAGAAGATGAAGTTAACATGTGCTATTGCTTATGTCATTCAGGTAGAAAGTTATTTAATCTGTTTGAAGATAGTATTCCTTTGGCTTCTGACTTCAATAACTGCTATTAAGAAGTCTGCTGTCAGTCATTCCTTTCTAAGGAATCTTATTTGTTCAATTTCTTGCTTCTACAGTGTCCGGACTGTTTTTAATTTCTCTATTGTGTTTTCTATTTAAATAATCATATTTTTATTTTCAAGAGGTCCTGAAAACTCTTTTAATGTATTATTTCAAATCTGCCATGGTATTCCTGGTAGTCTTTTGTTGTTTGCTTGTCTTAGTGATTCCATACTTTATTTCTCTAAGTATTTCATGCATATTCTGTGTTCTTCTGTATCCTTTATCTGCCCATTCTACCAACCCTAAGTCCTCATACTTGTGGTGGTTTGCTTTCTTGTGTCCTTGGTGATCACTGACTAAACTTACTGTCTGATTTTATCTCTGGGAGTCCTGTGGTTTAAAAGTGGGAATGCCTTCCTCCAGAGAGAATTTGCTGCTTCTGATTCTGCCACTGACCAAGGGTACTTCAGCCTTACTCATGAATCCAGGTTTAACACAATGGTACTAGGTTCAGCTTACCTACCTAGCCACTGGCCCAATATTCAGTGTTCTCACTGACAGTATTGTAGGTATCAACCCTCAAAACAACCTTGCCTCTGTCCTTTGGCTAACCACTCACCACTCCCAATTTCTTTGCAGTTCTGGGGAAGAGGAATGAAAGTATATGGAGATGTCCTTCTTACATATCTAGCAGTTATACAAGTTATGTTCTAGCAATAACCCTACTTGTTTTACAACATAAGGACCTCTCAAAGCATCTAGTTTACCATTTTTCAAGCACAAGTGAGATCTAAAAAGGTTTCACCTAATTTACATTTCTTTGCTTTTGAAGTCCTTGCAACCTATATTCTCACTGCCAAAGCCATTTTATCCAAGGAGTGTGTTTCCTCGTCTTGCTTCTTTATTTGTTTTAATTTTTTTCAAAAATGTTGCTTCTTTGTATATCAAAACTTAATAACTGAAATGAAAAAGGATTTACCTACGTGTATTTTTTGTAATTTTCTATGTTCTGAAAACAGATCCAAAGTTAATTATTCTGATTTCTTACATGTATTGCTATCTGTTATACTTTTAAAACAAATGAGAAATTTAACCATGTATCATATAAAACACACAACAAAATCCTGGGATGGTAACACCCTGAAACTTTCTAGGTCATCTTGGAGTAGAATACCGCTGAGGCCTTTTGTCATCTTTGCTTTTCTTTCCATGGGAAAGTGTGTAGATGTTTCTCAAATGAACAGGTTTCTGTCTGTTGACAGCCCTTTATCAACACTGTAATTAGGAGAGGCTTTTTATTCTTACTGATCAGAGTGGAAGCTGCTGCAAATGCATGCCGCTAACAAGTGCCTAAAATACAGCTAATTAAACTGGTTAGAAACTGTTGAGTTTGCCAGGTCCTTAATAGTGAGGCCTTCTAGGCTGGTTGCTACAGAGGTTGGAATAGAGACTTTTTCAAATGACCTTTTTTACTAGTATGACTTCGTTTACAATAAAATGTCATAGGATCATTTAGTTTTCATGTGAATTACATGTTTAATAACTTGTCTTCTCCAAGCTATAAGATTAGAAAATTTCAAAAACCTAATCAAGGAGTATATGGATTTTTGTTTAAAGTGGTGTTTGGTATTTGGCCGAATGGAATAAGTATTTTTACTAGTCAAGGTTAAACTTTACTTAGTAAGCATAACAGAAGATCTTAACTATGTTTGGCTTAATTTCTAAAGATAGGATTTTTGTAACTGTTTTACACTAGAAATGTTGCAAGAAAATTTGAGGGTTAGGCAGAGTGTATTTGACCAACATATTCTATAGCAATTTGCATATATTGAATGTGCTCAGTAAGTATTAAAAAAGATGTGTCCAGTTTGTCATTATATTTGTCTTGACGTAAAAGTTGCCAACACATGGACTCTAAGTCACACAATTATTTCTTATAAAGAGAGATCAAAACAAGATATAGAACACTCTTTAGAGAGAGAGCCAAGGAAAAGATCTATGTTAGGAATTTGGGCTTTCAATAGTGACTGGATTAATAGAGGTATTAAATATTAAATAGCATAACTGGGAGCTACTTTGAATTCTCTATGGTTTCCATCCAAAATTTTTATTTTAAATTTTTCCTGCTTTTAATTTTCCTTGTGAGAAAAGCAGCATGTTACTTTAACAGCAAAAAAGAGAGATACAGAATGATTCATCCCTTTGTGTAAAAGGTCTAGTACAATGCATATCCGGATTTTGAAATTTATTTTATTTTATAAAAACTATTTGTTTCCTGGGAACATGCTTTTCTTGAAAACAAAAAAAGTATTAAGCATTTTGTGAATTACCTTATAGATCTAGTTTTTTCCATAATTTAAATGTGCTTCCTTTTAAGGTTTGAATTCAGATTAATTTGTGGTGAGCAAAACCCTTTTAAATTTAAGATAGATAAGATATTATATCATAATACTACTTTCTCTTTATCTGCACTACTTTGATTTTGTATTCTTACTTTGTAAATTTAATTGTAGTACTGTCTTATGTTTAAATAGAGATTTAATGATTTCACCAAAGATGATGATTATCATTTAAATGTCAGTAATACAAATAATTAAATTTAAAGACTCTTAGAAGTTACATGTGGTATCTGTACAAATATGCTACTCCAGGAGATAAGAAAATTTGAGTAATGAAATATAATAAAATATTATTCTTAGAATTTATTGTAAAGGAGGTTAAAGTTTAAAACAATGAAATTAATTAAAATTATTCTAACACTATTCAGTGTCCTACTCAGTATACATTTTGGTATTATGACCAATTTTGACAGTTTGTAATTGACTTTCAAATGTAGTGTTTTAAATACTAGGTAATGTGTTAAAATTCCAGACATACTTCCCTCCTTGTGTTTGTTTGAATAAAACCTCCCCTGAAGCTGAAAGGATTCATTTTTTGTTCTTTTCTTAATAGTACAAAGTCTGAACTTTCCATGACAAAAGTAATGGTTGGGAAATTTGGAGGGTTGATCACTTCCATTTCTTTTCATTTAACAGCAAGAAATTCTTTATCATTGTCCAGTTTCTGATGCATCTCAGAAACTGAAAAGTGTGAGAGGGATATTTCTCACACTCTGTGACATGTTGGAAAATGTAACTGGGACACAAGTTACTAGGTAAGAATTGATTTTTATTTAGCTTTTTTCTGTTTCTTTCAAGTTCTGTACCTTGGTTCTGACAAAATACTACTACAAGTATCTATTATACAAATATATTTGTATCTCTAATGTAGAAATCTATATAGCAGTTATGATGCCTGCAGATATTTTGTTTCTTGCCTAAGTTATTTCTTTTTTTTTTTTTTACAAATAGTTTATTGTCAAATTAGTTTCCACATAACACCCAGTGCTCATCCCCACAAGTGTCCTCCTCCATGCCCATCCCCCCTCCCCCCCTACATCCATCAGTCCTCAGTTTTTGTCAGCATTCAAGAGTCTCTCATGGTTTGCCTCTCTCCCTTTCCCCCACCATTTCCCCCCTTGTTCCTCCGTTAAGTTCCTCCTAATCCTCCTATATGTGCAAACATATGATATTTGTCCTTCTCTGCCTGACATAACACCCTCAGGGTCCATCCATGTTGCTACACATGGCCAGATTTCATTGTTTCTCATTGCCATGTAGTATTCCATGGTATAGATAAACCACATCTTCTTGATCCATTCGTCCGTTGATGGACACTTATTGCCTAAGTTATTTCTAAAGGTCACCTATAAGGTGTAGGTTCTCAATACACTGTTAAGTCTGGGTGTTTGGCAAACTTTAAATAACAAATTTGAACTAATGACCTGTAATTTAGCATTTATTCATGAAGGTGGTATTTCTTAAGCATGGCATTATTTTGCGTCTGGGCTTTTTCATGTTTTTGTCTTGATCATTAACTTGCTAGCCAATACTCCTGTGGTTAATAAGAATGACTGAACACTGAATTTTTCATGTAGTTCAAAATAGTCTTTTCTACAGCAATGACAGAAAAAAACACAATCCACATACACTTTGAGAAGAAGAGCCAGAACGCTCCTTGTATCATCTGTGCAAGTTCACTCGATGGATAAACAAGACTGATACGAACTAATTTTTTGAAAAATAAAATATAGCATATACTCAGTTATAGAGCCATATATCCCATTCAGTGTCAATTTAGTAAGCCCTGACTTTGAAATGCCACAGTTGACTTATGGGAGGAGTAGGCTCAAAACTTTGTTGAGTTGCAGTTTGTTTTTTTAATAAAATAAATCTAGGGATTACAAACCATTTTTCTTCCTTAATATTTCAAAAGTTTTAGAAATATAAAGTTGGATTTTCTAAGGCTTTAACTTTTCCCATCTTTTGATAAAAATAACACCTCTAAGATTCTAAAAGATAAGATCTGCAAGACAATAACAAGAAGAATTTCCTTGTTTTCTAAATAAAAGTTGGGTTTAACTCTGGGACTCATTTCCAGACACTAGTAACTGAGGCTATATTTAGTGTAAATTTTCATTCAAAAAAATGTGTTGAGAGAAATCATATGGCATTTGTCTTTCTCTGGCTTATTTCACTTATCATAATACTCTAGCTCCATACATGTCATTGCAAATGGCAAGATTGCTTTTTTATGGCTGAGTAATATTCCATTGTATATACATACCACCTCTTTATCCATTCATCAGTAAGTGGACATTTAGGCTTTTACCATAATTTAATTATTGTGGATAATGTTGCTTGTAGATAACATTATTATAAACATTGAGGTGTATATATCCCTTTGAACTAGTGTTTTTATAATCTTTGGGAAAATAGTAGTGCAATTGCTAGATGGTAGGGTAGTTCCATTTTTAACTTGTTGAGGAACTTTCATACTGTTTTCCAGAGCACCTCCACCAGTTTGCCATCCTCCCAACAATGCAAGAGGGTTCCCTTTTCTCTACCAGCACCTATTGTGTCTTGTACTATTGATTTTAGCCATTCTGACAGGTATGAGGTAATAGCTCATTGTAATATTAATTTGCACTTCCCTGATAATAAGTGATGTTGAACATCTTTTCATGTGTCTGTTAGCCATCTTTATGTCTTATTTGGGAAAATATCTATTCTGTCTTCTGCCCATTTTTTAGTTGGATTATTTGGATTTTGGGTGTTGAGTTTTACAAGTTCTTTATATATTTTGGATACTAACCCTTTATCAGATATGTCATTTGCAAGTATCTCCTCCCATTCCATAGATTGCCTTTTAGTTTTGTTGACTGTTTTCCTGCACTGTGCAGAAGCTTATTTTGATGATGTTCCAGTAGTTTATTTTTGCTTTTGTTTCCCTTGCCTTAGGAGACATATCTACTTTTTAAAAATGTTTTATTTATTTCTGAGAGAAAGAAAGACAGCATGAGCAGGGGAGGGTCAGAGAGAGAGGGAGACACAGAATCTGAAACAGGCTCCAGGCTCTGAGCTGGCTGTCAGCACAGAGCCCAACCTGGGGCTCGAGCCCACAAACCGTGAGATCATGACCTGAGCCGAAGTCAGACACTTAACCGACTGAGCCACCCAGGCATCCCAATTGGGAGACATATCTAGAAGTAAGTTGCTACAGCCAATGGCAAAGAAGTTACTGCCTGTGTGTTCCCTTTTAGGATTTCAATGGTCTCCTGTCTCACATTTAGATCTTTCATCCATCTTGAGTTTATTTTTGTGTATGGTATAAGAAAGTGGTCCAGTTTCATTCTTCTCTGTGTTGCTGTCCAGTTTTCCCAATACCATTTGTTGAAGAGATGGTCTTTTTTCTCATTGGATATTCTTTCTTTCCTCTTTGTTGAAGATTAATTGACCATATAGGTACAAGTTCATTTCTGGGTTTTCTGTTCTGTTCCATCGGTCTGTGTCTGTTTTGTGCCTGTATCAAACTGTCTTGATCACTACAGCTTTGTAATAAAACGTAAAGTCTAGAATTGTGATGTCTCTAGCTTTGTTTTTCTTTTTCAAGATTATTTTGGCTATTCAGAGTCTTTGGTGGTTCCATACAGATTTTAGGATTTGTTGTACCTCTGAAAAATGCAGGTGGTATTTTGATAAGAATTGCATTAAATGTATAGATTGCTTTGGATGGTATAGACATTTTAACAATATTTGTTCTTCCAACCCATGAGCATGGAATGCCTTTCCATTATTTTGTGTCTTCAATTTCTTTCATCAGTGTTTTATGGTTTTCAGAATACAGGACTTTCAGCTTTTTGGTTAGGTTTATACCTAGATATCTTTTTATTTTTGGTGCAATTATAAATGGGATATTCCTCTTAATTTTTCTGCTGCTTCATTTTTGGTGTATAGAAATGCAACAGGTTTCTGTACATTGATTTTGTATCCTGTGACTTTACTCAATTTGTGTGTCACTTCTAGCAGGTTTTTTGGTATTTGGGGGGGAGGTTTCTGTACAGCGTATCATGTCATTTGCAAATAAAGTTTTACTTCTCACTTGTCGATATGGATGTCTTAAATTTCTTTTCGTTGTCTGATTACTGAGGCTAGGACTTCCAGTACTATGTTAAATAACAATGGTGAGAGTGGACATCCTTATCTTATCCTGATGATAGAGGCAAAGCTCTCAGTTTTTCCCCATTGAGGCTAATATTATCTGTGGGTTTTTCATATAAGGCCTTAATTATGTTGAGGTATGTTCTCTCTAAACCTTTGTTGAGGGTTTTTATCATGAGTGAATGTGTACTTTGTCAAATGCTTTTTCCTTCTCTATTGAAATGATATTTTAAAATTTTTATTAATATGATGTTATGACATTGATTTGCAAATATTGAACCTCCCTTGCAACTCAGGAATAAATCCCACTTGATTGTGGTAAATGAGTATTTTGTAATGTTAATTTATTTTGGGGGGTGTGGGGGGAGGGGCAGAAAGAAACAGGGAGACAGAGGATCCCAAGTGGGCTCCATGCTGACATTGGTAAGCCCAATATGGCTCTCGAACTGATGAACCAGGATATCATGATCTCAGCCAAAGTCATACTCTCAACCAACAGAGCCACCCAAGCATGCCATGAATGATTTTTTTTAAATGTGTTGTTGGATTCAGTTTGTTAGTAGTGTGTAGAGAATTTTTGCATATATGTTCATCAGGGATATTGGCCTAATGTTCTCTTTTTTAGTGGAGTCTTTACCTTTGTAATGACACAGATAGAGCTAGGGAGTATTTGCTAAGCTAAATAAGTCAGAGAAAGACAAATATCAAGTGATTTCACTCATATTTGGAATTTAAGAAACAAAACAAGTTAGCAAAGAAAAAATAAAAAGAGAGAGGGAGGCAAACTAAGAAACAGACTTTTAACTATAGAGAACAACTGTTGGCTACCAGGTGGAAAGTTGGTGGGGGAAATAGGTAAATAGGTGATCAGGATTAAGGAATGCACTTGCTTTGATGAGCACTGGGTGATGTATGGAAGTATTGAATCATTATATTGTACACCTGAAACTAATATTACACTGTATGTTTAACTGGAATTTAAAGGATTTTTAAAATTTATTTTATATCTTTATAAATAAAGTTATTTATTTTTGAGAGAGAGAAAGCACAAGTTGGGGAGGGGCAGAGAGAGAGAGGGAGAGACAAGAATCCTAGGTAGTCTCTGCTATGAGCACAGAGCCTGACACATTGCTCGATCCCATGAACAATGAGATCATGACCTGATCTGAATCAAGAGGCAGACACTTAACCAACTGAGCCCCAGAAGCCCCAACTAACTGGAATTTAAATAAAACTTAACAAAAATTTTAAAAATATAATGATGGTAATGCCTGAAGAAGATGTTAAAAAGATTAAAAAATAACAAATAGTATGCATTTGACTGTAAGAAAAATAATAACAATTTGTATTAAGAATTAAAGAAAATAATTAAAATGATGTGAAAAAACATGTTGCAGGCCTCCTTTTATTTTTTATTTTTATTTTTTTAAATGTTTCTTTCTTTCCTTCCTTCCTTCCTTCCTTCCTTCCTTCCTTCCTTCCTTCCTTCTTTCTTTCTTTCTTTCTTTCTTTCTTTCTTTTCTTTCTAGAAAGAGAGTGCACACAGGGAGGGACAGAGAGAAAGAGAGAGGGAGCCAAGCAGGCTCCATGTTCATCATGGCGCCTAGTTCAGGGCTAAATCCCATGACCATGAGATCACAACCTGAGCTGAAATCAAGAGTCAGTTGCTTAACTGACTGAGGCACCCAGGTGCCCTCCTTTTATTTATTTTTTAACAGCTTTATTGAGATATCATACAATTTTCCCGTTTAAAGTATACAATTCAGTGGTTGTATATTTGCAGGTATTTGCAACCATTACCAGAGTCAATTTTAGAATATTTTCACCACACCCAAATAAAAACCTATACTGGACATTTCATGTGAATGAAATCATAATACATGCTTATTTGTGACTGGCTTCTTAGGATAATGTTTTCAAGGTTCAGGCCTCCTTTTTAATCATATTGGAAAGAAATTTTAAGTTTCTCCATGTGGATTTGATTTTTTTCTTTTTACTCTAAAGGACAGATGTTATTTTACTTGATGTTCAGATCTTGTTATTAATGTTAAGATATGGATTAAACATGTGGAAAACAATAAATGTAAGTAGAAAAACTTTTTTGTGAAACAGTAAATATGAAAATGATAATTATTTCAGGGTTCCTTAGCAATATGTATGTCTTACATACACGGTTTTAAAACTATAGTGATATTAATGTCTGAGTATAAAAAGAATCTAATGTTTGTCAAAAAGCATATATATTTTTAAACTTTATTAAGGCAAAAGTAATATTCCTTTTGAAGAAATCTATTTAGCAATTCATGTTTAAAATTCCACACACTTATCTATTGCAGCATAGAATATACATTGTATTCTAAGGATTCACCCGATGAAAACTGATTTGTGTATTTTCATTTAAAGAAAAAAAATGGAGGGGGTACATCTGGGTAACTCAGTCAGTTAAGCTTCTGACTCTTGATTTCGGCTCAGGTAATTTTGTGAGATCAAACCCCATGTCAGGTTCTGTGCTGACAGCACGGAGCCTGCTTGAGATTCTCTCTCTGCCCCTTCCCTGCTCACACACGTGTACATGCTCTCTCCCTCTCAAGAAGAAATAAATAAACTTTAAAGAAAAAACAAACACTAAATATATTTTCTTCACATCATCTACCCTCATTTACAAGAAGGAATCATAATACTCTGTTTTCATAGTTCTTTATTATATCTCTTTTTAGAACACATTTAATATGTTTTCTAACTTGATTGAAGTACAATAAATTGCATATATGTAAAATGTACAATTTTATCAGTTTTGACAGAGGTATATGACCCTGAAACCATTACCACAGTGAATATATACATTATCCCAAAGGTTTCCTTGAGTACATGTTTAAATCTGACTTATATTTTGGTTACTTGTTATGTACCTATGCCCCATATTAAATTATCATTTGTGAGCTGGAATCATGTCTTCCTTTCTTTGTAATTTTTCTTAATAAATAGGTAATTTATCTTAATAATTTTTCTTAATAAATAGACTATTTGTTCTCTTAATAAATAGGCTATTTCTCCTAATAAATCGGCAATCAGAAAAGATTTGTTAAATTAGCACTGTAATGGAAGCTTTCTAAAAAAAAATAGCATATTGTCACTTAATGTTAGCAAACGAATGTCAATACTTTTTACTATGACATGTCTATTTTTGTTTGACCTAAAGCTTTTTATAGGTATTTAAAAAGTATTTCTGAATGCATTATTGTTGTTATGCAATTCCTTGCCTTCTCTGTGTGACAGATATATGCCAAGAAACTTGTTTATTAAGCATGTGGTTCTTAAGTCATACCATGTGTAATCTTTTATGAGTGACGTGTTTATAATTTTTTGACATTTAAAGATATTCTAACTTTATTCAACTCTTTTTTTTTTTATTAGCTCATCCCTTCTTTTAAATGGGAAACAATTCCACGTGGCTTATTGGAAAGAATCTGACAAATTATTGTTAATTGGCCTGCCTGCTGAAGAGTAAGTTGAGATCTTTGTTCATCTTAAAATCATTTCAAACATACTGCTAACAAAGTCTGTTTCATTAAAAGTATGATGTTTTTGTTAAAAGCCAACCTCCTTTAAACAGTCATGTTGGGGCACCTTGGTGGCTCAGTCATCCAACTTTGGCTCAAGTCATGATCTCACGGTTTGTGGGTTCGAGCCCCACATTGAGCTCTGTGCTGACAGCTCAGAGCCTGGAGGCTGCTTTGGATTCTGTGTCTCCCTCTCTCTGACCCTCCCCTGCTTGTGTTCTCCCTCTTTCTCTCTCTCTCTCTCTCTCTCTCTCAAAATGAATAAGCATTTTTAAAAAGTTTAATTCAAAAAAACAGTCTATGTTTTAAAGATCTGTTCCACCAGTGCAATAGCTACCTATGTTAATTTGATATTAAAACTAGAAAGGTGCTGGGAACACCCAGCTAGACCAATTAGTAAGGAGAAGTGCTTTCAATACACTTTCTTCTGAGATGTGGCCAGTACAAAGGTGGCTGAGAGATTACCTTCTCTGCTCAAACTTTTGACAAGATCGTGGATTGGATTTTGTGTGTTCGGCTTTTTACTGTTGGAGGTTTTGGAGAATTAAAGGTCAAGGAAAAAGGTGCTTGGCCCTGATGTTGAGCACCTTTGACAAAATACAGTTGATCCTTGAACAACATGGATTTCAATTGTGCTAATTCATTTATATGCAGCTTTTTTTCAATAAATGTATTGGAAAGTTTTTTGGAGATTTGTGACTATGAAAAAGCTAGAAGATCAAGTCTAGAAATATTTAAAAAATGAGAAAAAGTTACGGATGTCATGAATGCATAAAATATGTGTAGATACTAGTCTGTTTTATCATTTACTACCATAAAATATACATAGATCTATTATTAAAAGTTAAAATTTATCAAAACTTAAACAAACACTTACATGGAGCTCTTCACAGCAATAGCATAAACCTTGAATAGCACCATGGGACCCATATGAAGTGCCACTAGTAATGCTGGAAGTGCTCCCAAGAAGCAGAGAAAAGTTAGGACATTACAAGAAAAAAAAAAAAAAATTGCTTGATATGTACTGTAGATTGAGATCTGCAGCTGCAGTTGGCCACAATTTCAGGATAAATAAATCCTACATGAGAACCATTGTAAAAAAAATTCCTGAAGCCATCACTACAGTTAGGCCAGCAGGTGCAAAAACATCACAATTTTTGTGAAAGATCTTTTTATCTTGTATTAAAAATGCAGCTTTTATGTAGGTGCAGGATTGCTAGAAGGAAGGCATCTCTATAAATTAATATGATTTAAGAAAAAACAGTCATGATATGACAACTTAAGGCAAAGGAAAAGTGAAGGATCTAAAGCAGGAGAATTTAATGCCAGCACAAACGATGGTTTGACAATTTTAGAAGGGGGTTTAGCTTTAAAAATGTCAAGATAACAGGAGAAGCAGATTCTGCTAAGAGACTGCAAATGACTTCCCAGATGCCATTAAAAAAAGCAGTGAAGAGGAAGGATATCTGTCTCAAGGTTGTTTTTGGGTTTTTTTTTTTTTAATGTTTGTTTATTTTTGAGAGCATGCAAATTGGGAGGGGCAGACAAAGGGGGACAGAGGATCTGAAGCAGGTCTTGCACTGATAGCAGCAAACCTGATGCAGGGTTTGAACGAACTCATGAACACCGAGATCATGACCTGAACTGAAGTCAGATGCTCAACCAACTGAGCGACCCAGGCGCCCCTCAAGGTTTTTAACACAGCCAAAAGTGCCCTATTCTGGGAGAAAGAAAAATGTTGAATAGGGTATTAATAAAGAAGAAAAGTGAGCACCGGAATTAAAGGTGGGAAGGAATATGCTTATTCTGTTTTGTGTAAACAGTCAGGTTTATGATCAAGACTGCCCTTATGTATAAAGCTGCTAAATCCCAAATCTTGAAGGGAAAAGATAAATACCAGAAGCCAGTCTTTTTGACTGTACAACAAGAAGGCCTGGGCAATGAGAACCCTTTTTATGGATTGGGTCCATTGATGCTTTGTCCCTGAAGTCAGGAAGTACTTCACCAGTAAGGGACTGCCTTTGAAAGTTGATTTGATATTGGACAATGCCACTTAGAACCAAAGTTCATGAGTTCAGTACCCAAGATGTCAGCCTGCTTACCCCCAAACACAATATCTCCAATTTAGCCTCTAGATCAGTGGTCACAAGGGCCTTTAGACTTCATTACACATGGTACTCTATGGAAAGGATTGTCATTGCTATGGAAGGGGACCCCAGCAGAGAGAACATCATGAAAGTCTGGAAGGAATACACTACTGAAGATGCCAATGTTCTTATAGAAAAAGCCATGAAAGCCCTCAAGCCTGAAACATAAATTCCTGCTGAAGGAAATGGTGTCCAGATATCATAACTTCACAGTATTAAAGACAGAGCCAATCAGGGAAATCGTGAAACATATTCTGGATATGGTAAAAAGGGGGTAGGGCAGGGGAGGTGAAGGACTTCAAGATAGAGATCTTAGAGAGAAATTCAAGAGCTAATAGATACCACACCAGAGGAAGGGAGAGACGATGACTTGATGGAGATGAGTACTTTTGTTTTTTGGGTTGTTTGTTTGTTTGTTTTTGCATTAATGGCCATATTTATTATTTTTTTACATAGTTTATTGTCAAGTTGGTTTCCATACAACACCCAGTGCTCATCCCCACAAGTGCCCTCCTCCATGCCCATGCTGATGCTCCTGTGCATCAGCACTCCTGTTTCCCTTGGGTAAATTCCTAGCAGTGCTATTGCTGGGTCATAGGGGAGTTCTCTTGTTAATTTTTTGAGGAACCTCCACACTGTTTTCCAGAGGGGCTGCACCAGTTCACATTCCCACCAACAGTGTAGGAGGGTGCCCGTTTCTCCGCATCCTCGCCCGCATCTAGAGTTCTCTGATTTGCTCATTTTAGCCACTCTGACTGGTGTGAGGTGGTATCTTAGTGTGGTTTTGATTTGTATTTCCCTGATGAGGAGGGATGCTGAGCATCGTTTCATTTGTCTGTCGGCCATCTGGAGTCCTCTTTGGAGAAGTGTCTGTTCATATCTTCTGCCCATTTCTTCACTGGGTTGTTTTTTTTTCGGGTGTGGAGTTTGGTGAGTTGCTTATAGATTCTGGATACTAACCTTTTATCTGATATGTCATTTGCAACAATCTTTTCCCATTCCATTGGTTGCCTATTAATTTTATGGATTGTTTCCTTTGCCGTGCAGAAGCTTTTAATCTTGATGAGGTCTCAATAGTTTATTTTTGCTCTTGATTCCCTTGCCTTTGGGGATGTGTCAAGTAAGAAATTGTTGCGGTTGAGGTCAAGGAGGTTGTTTCCTGCTTTCTCCTCTAGGGTTTTGATGGTTTCCTGTCTCACGTTCAGGTCCTTTATCCATTTTGAGTGTATTTTGAGTGCATGGTGTGAGAAAATGATCTAATTTCATTCTTCTGCATGTTGCTGTCCAGTTCTCCCAACACCATCTGTTAAAGAGGCTGTCTTTTTTCCATTGGATATTCTTTCCTGCTTTGTCAAAGATTAGTTGGCTGTATACTTTTGGGTCCAAATCTGAGTTCTCTATTCTATTCCTTTGATCTATGTGTCTGTTTTTGTGCCAATACCATATGTCTTGATGATGACAGCTTTGTAGTAGAGGCTAAAGTCCGGGATGGTGATGCCTCCCGTTTTGGTTTTCTTCTTCAATATTACTTTGGCTATTTGGGGTCTCTTGTGGTTCCATACAAATTTTAGGATAGTTTGTTCTAGTTTTGAGAAGTATGCTGGTGTAATTTTGATTGGAATTCCATTGAACGTGTAGATTGCTTTGGGTAGTAATGACATTTTAACTATGTTTATTCTTCCAATCCATGAGCATGGAATGTTTTTCCATTTCTTTGTGTCTTCTTCAATTTCCTTCATTAGTTTTCTATAGTTTTAATCATACAGATCTCTTATATCCTTGGTTAGGTTTATTCCTAAGTATCTAATGGTTTTTTGTGCAATTGTGAATGGGATGAGTTTCTTCATTTGTTTTTCTGGTGCTTCATTATTGGTGTATAAAAATGCAACCAATTTCTGTACATTAATTTTGTATCCTGCAACTTTGCTGAATTCTTGGATCAGTTCTAGTAGGCTTCTGGTGGAGTCTGTCAGGTTCTCTATGTAGAGTATCATGTCGTCTGCAAAAAGTAAAAGTTTTGACTTCCTCTTTGCCAATTCTGATGCCTTTTATTTCCTTTTGTAGTCGGATTGCTGATGATAGGACTTCCAGCACTATGTTAAACAATAGTGGTGAGAGTGGACATCCCTGTCGTGTTCCTGATCTCGGGGAAAAGCTCTCAGTTTTTCCCCGCTGAGGATGATGTTAGCTGAGGGCTTCTCATAGATGGCTTTTATGAAGTTTAAATAAGTTCCTTCTATCTCGACTTTCTCGAGGGTCTTTATTAAAAAGGGATGCTGTATTTTGTCAAGTGCCTTTTCTGCATCTATTGACAGGATTGTATGATTTTTATCTTTTCTTTTGTTGATGTATTATATCACATTGATTGATTTGCAAATATTGAACCAGCCCTGTAACTGTGGAATGAATCCCACTTGATCATGGTGGATAATTCTTTTTATGTGCTGTTGAATTCATTTTTCAAGTATCTTGTTGAGGATTTTTGCATCTGTATTCATTAAGGATATTGGCCTGTAGTTCTCCTTTTTTCCTGGGTCTCTGTCTGGCTTGAGAATCAAAGTGATGCTGGCTTCATAAAAGGAGTCTGGAAGTTTTCCTTCTATTTCTATTTTTTGGAATAGTTTGAGTAGAATGGGTATTAATTCTCTTTTAAATGTCTGATAGAATTCTCCAGGGAAGCCATCTGGCCCAGGGCTCTTAATTGTTGGGAGATTTTTGATAACTGATTCGATTTCCTCACTTGTTATGGGTCTGTCCAGGTTTTCTATCTCTTCTCGTGTGAATTTGGTAGTGAGTG